CCCCCCCCGAACGGAAATCCTGGCAGCGCCACTGGTATCCTGAACTAGCAATAGCGAATGGGATGATTCCGATGAACCGTTTCTCTGGTAAGCCTGGCATCTGCCTCAAAGGCGCTGACGTTTGTTGATGAACAAGAACTACACAATCCTCACAAGGTTTTTTTCCGCGTGAGAGATATGAGTATAGATAGGTCAAACGGGGCTCCTTTGGCAGTTGTCATTCCGAGCTACCTAGATTCGTATTTCACAGAAGCAAGGCAGACTGCGGAAGTTCTGTCAGTATGCATGAGAGTTAGCGGAGGATCACATTGATGAAATTCGAATGAAACAAAATGAGTTTGGCTTCTTCCTACGACTGTTAGTGAAGCCGAATACTTTTTTGACCTCTCCAAACGTACACGTTAAATGCATTTTTGGACATCGAACACTTCTCATGACTCTGCTGGTGTTTGGTAATTTTCTGTACTCAACTACTTAAAACTGCTTGTACAATCTTCTCTTGCTGGGAGATCCACAGTGTTGAAGACGTGAGTCATATATTATTAAACGTCATTTCATCTTCTCATTTGGGTGAAGGAACGAAGAGAAGAGAAGACCCTCTTAGTGATTAGAATCTGCTAACCAATTACAGGAAACTTCGCATTATGTGCGTGACCTATCGATGACTTAATGCGCCCTATTGCAACAAGCTGACTGCGCGATATATTAATTCTGATTCTGATTATGCATATAGTATAGAAAAAATATTGTATTTTCCATAAGTACTATACGAGCAATGTGATTCTCTTGCAAGTTATATATCTAGTGTTGACGCGCTTCACAAATCCTATATCAATATGTTTTGATAGGGTTCGATTGTGTCACATGCATAGACTGTCGAGCGTTTCGGGGGCTGCACTTCTCTTTTCGAAAATTGACCTTGTATTTACCTGCACAACTTTATGAAAGACTTATTGGCATCCACGGCATATCGCTTTTCCCCCACTTTCACTCCAAGAGGGATCGTGCTTTTGTCGTGCTGAGTGATACATATTCACCTTGACGCTCCGCAATATCACCGCTTTATAGCATGATTTTGCTTTGCTTGAGATTATGATTTTGACTCCGAGTGGTAAGCTTTATTATAAATTTCCTTTAGGTAATTCACTGGTAGTGCAGCATGGCTAGTTCCTCAATTTTAACGCCTGAGAGGCGTATCGAGCTGAATCCATTTGACATTGATGCTTGGAACTTGATTCTGAGAGAATCACAGGTGAGGTCTACAAATCACTCAATTTACGGTAGAGCTTCAGTTTGTTTACCTAGGCAAGGCCGATTGACCAAGCTCGAAACTTTTACGAAAAGTTGGTTACGCAGTTCCCCAATGCAGGACGATACTGGAAAGCGTACATTGAGCATGAGGTAAGAGTCTCATTCTTTGCAAACCATGCACTTGGTAAATTGCTGTAAGAAATCATCTACGATGGTGATCTGAACATGTTGCAGTTCACTATCTTGCGGCAATTCATGTCACCCCGGCTATCCGATAACCGGCGACACTTCTTCTTTTGTTTCTTACCGTACTTTTTATCTGACCCCATGAACAATAAATATTTACTTAGAACACAAGTCCCACCCCCCAGTGGTTTCGCTTTTCTTTTGCCGAAATTGTTTGCAAATAAATATTCTTGGCCGGCCTGGTTTGAGTGTTCAGAGAGTGACATTACACATGAAATAGGTATTGTACTAGTAATTGCCACGGGAACTGGCTCTAATTCGAACTATGCATGCACAAATGCGAAGAAGTGTGTTGCTGAATGTAAAATGAATAAGCAACTACCATCCTAGCAGTTTTCAGTTTGCTTAATGGATTGTGGAGCTTAGCTCACTCACAGGTAGTAGTTCTAGTATTGCTAGTGTGCTCATTTGCATAAAAATATATTGCTAAAGACAACATTTCAGCTTCGAGGAAAGAACTTCGAGAATGTGGAAAATGTAGGTTTAGCTGACTCCTATGTTTTCAATGGCTTTTTTGTTATGCATTCTTATCTTTCTTTAGTTATTCAATCGTTGTTTGGTGAAAGTACTGAACATCGATCTGTGGAAATGCTACGTTTTTTATGTCAGGGAGACCAAAGGGCACTTGAGTTCTTTCAGGTAGTGGTCTTTGTTTACAAGTAATAGGTCTCTTAGCGATATGCTTTAGAGAGAAAATGGCAAAGGCTTATGATTTTGCACTCGACAAAGTTGGACTCGATATGAACTCATACTCGATCTATGCAGACTATATCTCGTTCCTCAAGACAGTGTACGTTGAAACGTTTTTTAGTCGCCTTTTCTCTTAATGTACACTATACTGAAAGAAACCATCATTTTCTTTTTCCTTATGTATTCAACTATCCTCGTGTTTATCTGAATTCTCTAAAAATCTTCGGTCCTGTGTATTTCCAAGTAGCTGTCTTTTCTCACAGTCGCTTTGCAGTCCAGCAATTGGCCAATATGCGGAGAACCAGCGCATATCAGCAGTTCGAAAAATTTATCAAAGGGGGATCTCAACGCCAATGGTTAACATAGAGTCATTGTGGTCGGACTACTGCAACTACGAGAAAAATATAAATCCCACACTTGCTGAAAAGCTTATATCAGAAAGAAACAAGGAGTACCAAGTGAGCACATATGTAAAATCATTGCCGTAGTCATCATTCACATTCACCGTTTAAGGTGTCAAAAAAGATAGCTAAACAGCTCGAAACCGTCACTCGTGGAGTAAACAGACAAGCAGTATCGGTGCCACCTCGAGGCACTGCGCCGGAAATGAAGCAGGTAATTTTTCATGGATGATTGCGTCTCCGAGCTTTTAAAGAGGTATTACATTTAGGTGGAAATGTGGAAGAAGTACATACAATGGGAAAAGAGCAATCCCATGGAAACCGAAGAGTATGGACAGTTTGCGAAGCGAGGTTAGCATTCAAAATAGTGTTAGCGATGCAAAGATTTACTCAAATTTTGAGCCACGGAATACCGTCGCTTCCAAAGTTTTGTGCCTGAATTCGCGCTCCGAGGGCCTATGCACGTATGTATGTAAATTCTCGCGGCGCTCTGATTTTGGATAACCTCAGGAAGCTCCGATAGTTAAATATAGTACCCAGCCTTTTCCGCAAGAATGTACATGCATATGGGTCAAATATCACGGCTTCTATACTGATGGAACCCAAAATGTCTTTCACTAAGTGCTATTTTAGTGGTCTACGCCTATGAACAGTCCCTGCTTTGTCTTGGCTATTATCCTGACATGTGGTACGAAGCAGCATTGTTTCTTCAACAAGCAGGGAAACAGCTAGAAGAGAAAGGAGACGTCAAGCTAGCACAGCAGATGACCGCTGAAGCAATGCGTAAGCTCAATCTTAGAATCTGCAGTAGTTTTGCTATGTTGTTATCGTTACAGAGCTCTTCGACAGAGCAATTTCTGGTTTAATGAAACACTCACAGCTGCTTTATTTTGCCTATGCTGATTTTGAAGAGGAGAGGATGAAATTTGACAATGTGAAGAAGATCTATGACAATCTGCTCACGATAGACCACATTGATCCTACACTGGTCAGTGTCCTCCTGTTTAAGTCGCAACTTCAGCTAATAATTTCCATTTAGACTTATATCCAACTCATGAAATTCACTCGACGCACAGAAGGTGTTAGAGCCGCTCGAGCAGTATTCAAAAGAGCTCGTGAGGACAACCGCTGCAGACATCACGTCTTCATAGCAGCTGCTTTGATGGAGTTTTATTGCAGTAAGGTGGGTATATGTTTTTTTGAAGGACCTGAGCCATTTCTTGCTTCTGTGTTGATAACTTCGGGGATTTCAGGACAAGGATGTTGCGATGCGTGTTTTCGACCTAGGTCTGAAAAAGTACGGTGACGAACCTGAGTATGCTTGCGCATACGTGGATTTTCTTACTCATTTGAATGGTCAGTTTCGTATCGACATAGATATCTCAGTATATGTGGTTTCCTCACTTGATACCTTTGCAGAAGATAACAACACTCGAGTAGTCTTTGAACGCATTCTTACATCCGAGTCGTTGCCGCCGGAGAAATCATCGTGAGTCTTTCAACACACACAACGGTGGTGATTGGTAATTGTCAAGCTAAACAATTTATAGCGATATCTGGGACCGGTATCTGGAGTTTGAAAGTTTGGTTGGCGATCTTGCTAGTACTCTCAAAGTGGATGAAAGGCGGAAAGCTGCCGTTACTGGCGGAAATGACGAAGGCACAACATTGATGTTAATCGACAGGTTGTTGTGACCCCTTGTCAAGAAGTAAAGCCACTCAAATCTCATTTTCAAGATATCGCTTCCTTAATCTGGTGCCCTGCACTCTGGACCAGTTGAAACTCATGGGATATAACGTAAGTTATCTTGTTTGATATTTAGTAGTAGCGCAAATTTTGTTCCTCTTTTGTATGAATGTTAATTGTCTGCTCAGACAATTCACCGGAACTTCTTGAGGGCAAGCTAATTTTCCGAATTTTCCGAGAGCTTGTTTTAGTACCGGGGTTGATGAAGGCGTGAAAATGGGAACTTCCCGAGAAAAA